TGCAAGGATGCACATACTCTCTACAACTCCATCCAGAATGTGGCGAGGGAGAGAGCTATGGACCTTAGCAAGATCCTAAAGAATACCTACAATAGAAAGACTTGTCGAGAAATGGGAGCTAATTTTATGGATTGTTGTTATGTAATAGGTTTTCGGTGGTGTAAGGGGATTTGATTATATGACATCCCGGTGGTTGATTATGCTAGACAAGGCCATTTAGGCAATTGGAAGACTTGGGGTGATGATCTAGTGCTTTGTCTTTGTGTCATTAGCAGGGCCCTACGTTGTTAATGTCCTTAGTTATGGAATTCTTCTTGTAAATGCGTATGTATATGGTTTTTGTATTTTGATACTTTTGAACCTAACCCAGGGCATGTCCTATGATAGGTGGGATTCATTGTATTCTTCAATCTCCGCTTGGGTCCATTTCTTTGACAAGAGGAATGGGAAAAAGAGAAGATTAGGGTAGACTTGGATAGTATCATTCTTTCGCTTCTAACCCAGGGCTTGTCCTAAGGTAGGTTGGCCGACTTTTAGGCCTTTTGTGCATTCTTTTCACCCTTTCTATAAAAGCTTACTTACCCAAAAAATATATATATATATATGTAACCTAGGATACAATCTCTACATTCAAAGTAATAAAAGCATTAAGCTGCGAGAGACCTACTGAATCAAGGCTAAACTCATATGGTTGGTTTAGTTATCTTAAGTGATTACCCCCCATGTAATGGAGATCGGGGTGCTGACCAAGTTGATGTTCCCAAATATTCCCAAGATCCTTTGCAAGGAATTGGCGGTCCAATGACTAGGGCAAAGACAAAGAGGATGAAAGAGGCTTTGCAAGGCTTGATCATGGAAGTGCAATACAAAGAGGCTGTACTAGAAGACTCTAAGACTAAATTTGAAGATTTCAAAGTTTCACCAAGGATAATCTATTATCTTTTTACGCAAGGGGTAGATTCGAAAGATCAAGTTGGATGCGAGGATTAATTTAGGACTTAATTTTTGTCTTTTAATCTTGGGCTTTTTTTTTTTTTTTTTATGTTTTAATTATCATTAGATTCTTTAGTCTTTTATTTATTTAAGGTTTATTTAGGCCCAATTCACTTTTACTTAAGCCCAACCCCTTTTTTCAATTAGCTAGGGTTTTTTTTAGGGTTTGCTGCTTATAAAAAGGGGCAGCCATGTTATTTTTGGGGGACATATTATTATCAATTGAACTTTACTTTCAGAAAGCTATTTGCTTGCCTTCTTGTGTTCTTGAATGAATGCTTGAATCTTGACTTATCAAAGGGAGTGATAAACCTTTGTGGCATCTCAAAATTAGGGTTTTAAGGACTTAGTTTCCTTAGGGTTCTAATTCGATCATCCTCAACACGTTCCTAGCAAACTAACTTATTCATATTCCATTGAGTTCGTGGGTTCCTACGGTAATTCGCCTAGAGGGTCTACATCACCATGTATGCAGGCATACACTTTACCACTAGTTATTTAGGTTAATAAAGCAATTCTATACTAAACAACCTAAATTGGCATTAATAGATTAATCCTAACGATTTAATTGGCCACTTAAACAGTTAGAACAATCTAGTTAAACCCTATTTTCAAAGAAATAATCACATAACCAAAGGGGATCAAAAAATAAAAAGTTGCAGATTTTATTAATCAGAAGACATGTCTAGGGTGTTAAAATCACCTTCAATCACAAAAGAATTAGTTCTTCATGGAGAAGAATGAAAACATAACCATATTAAAGAATAACAAAATAGTAACAAGAGATAAGAAAAACTTAGGAAATCTTGGGTAGAACAATGGAGTTGATGATTGTCTTCCCCAATTCTTCTGTCCAAGCCTCTTTCAATCTCTCTTAATCTCTACATTATTGAGTACTTTTGTTCTCTACAAAGATCTCTAAAGAATCTCCGAAAATAATGTTAAATGACTTCTATTTATATCCCACAAGGGTTAGGGTTTTGTTTTCCTTAATTCTATTTAGTTTCGGACTCTTAAATATTATTTTCCTCGTAAAAAACGGAAGAAAGATTTCCAGCTGTCGTGACTATGCCCCGGCACTGTGCTGCAGCATGGTTGGTTCTGGACTAAGTGCGTTACGGCATGGTTGATTCTCATCTAAATGTGCTGAAGCACAATGCTGCGGCATGGTCCAGTTCCTCTTTTAACCTTGCATCATTCTTCAGCACTCCAGAGATGGTGTTGTTTTAGCATATAACGATGGAATCTGGAAACGTGGTAAACATATGAAATTTATCCCTTTAAATGAGCTTTTCAACGGTTCAAAAATCATCTTGATACGGTATCAATAGCCCCAGTTATAGTTGAAACACCGAGGTGTGCTCAAACTACAGAGTAATCTAGAATCTCCTCTTTACTTCAAAGCTCCATAATTTTTTCAATTCAACTCCGATTCTCGATCCATTTATTTCCAGTCATCACAAATTATCTTGCCAACATCATCTCTCATCCGAATATTATTTTTAAGCTTTATTCCTTGAAAACACAACAAAAATACTCGTGATCCCGAAACATGCATTTATGAAATAGTTAAGTCAATTCATGCGAATTAATCCTAATTTACCACAAATGATACCTATAAACCACTAAGTATAAGTGTATTTTCAAGCACTTATCACAACCTCCAACCAGCTTCTTGCTAGTTCCTAGCAAGGTAAGCGAGCTAAAGATGTCTTCTAGCTTGAAAATTAAAATAAAATAAACCTAAATCTAATCTACCCCAAATCACTTTTGTAGATTGTCACGGTTGCAATTAGCGTATGCGACAAGCCTTTAAACCCCTAGGTGGCCCTAGTTGGACGAGTTGTATTCTCGTGAGGGATTCTGGCGATGATACCCACAAACATTCATACTAGACCTAAACTAGACGCGAAAATTAAAAACAATCAAACAAAACATTTGTCTCCAGATATACATTCATCTCAAAAATTGCATAAAACACACAACATAATGGATAGTAAAACATCACCCAAGCCCAAAGGTAACTCAAAAATCAATTTCATTTTCATTATCAACTCTCACACATCAATCATTCCACAAACCCGTTAATCTCAAAACCCGAATGATCACATGCACAAGCTTCACAAAAAAAGAATTGATCTCAAAATTTGAAAAATATAATATAATGTATAGAATCAAATTCCATAGGCTCACTTTTCAAACTACTCTCTACTATTGCAGAATGATTACACTACCTCGGATCAAATAGGTCTTTATTAAGCCTGCAATGTTAGGCTAGGTTATGAGGTTATGAAAGAACGGAAAAGATAAGCAAAAATAAGAGACTCAATCCTATTTCTTTCAAACACTTTCATTCACGCGCCATCATTCTTCTTTACACCCAACTTTTTCCACCCTTCATCAAAAATAATTTTATTGCATCATTTACACTTTACGATGTTTCTCAATACTTTTTTCTTTCTTTCTTTCTTTCTTTGGTTCCTTTCTCATTTTTTTTTTTTTTTTCCTTTAGATGAAAGAAAAGAAAGCTAAAAATGCTACCCCAACTCTTGATTAAAAAATACTCCACAACCCCCAACCTATTATTTTGAGCACATTCGGAATAAATTGAAAATCTTCAGAAACCTTCACCCTCACTTCTTGTACTTAGATTAAGTCTGTTAAAAATTAAAGGGTGGGAATGTGTTTTTTGCTCAAAATAATGGTGGGTTAATTTAGATTACATGAAAGAAAGTCAAGGCTAAATGTGGTTAATAATGGCTCAAAGGGGTAGCTAGCGATAATTTAAATAAAGGGTTGGCTTGAAAGACTCAAACGTTCCAAAGATAGCCCAAATCATACCCTAAGTAATGTGCATTCTGGGATTTCACCTCAAGTCATTATTAAGTGAGTTCTAGAATTTGTTGAGATCGCAAAAATGTCTATGAAAATTCATACATAACAAACATCACTAAGCCTTAAGACTAACCAACCAAATCATACCACATAGCATGAGAGTCTCAAACTAGATGAAACTAATTATTTGAAGTTACCCTTAAACCTAAGCAACATTTAGCATCTTCTAAACATTACATGTTATCACAATTATAATCATATCATTGACATATAAATTAAACCCTAAACTAATACAGCAACAACAAATGTAAACACATACTTAGACATACCATATAATTAATATTTCTATGTCCCACCCCCAACCTAAATTGGGCAATGTCCTCATTGCTCTATTGATCAGTATTAAAAAAAAAAAAAAAATCATTAGGAAAAACGAAAACTAACACAACTCAATGGGTTGCCTCCCATGTAGTGCTTTATTTAACGTCGTTAGCCTGACGTTCTTCTTTGCTTAACCGTCCATGTCCGTTGTTCATGGAGAGGTACTTCATCCAATTGTTCCATGAATGGCTCGTAGTATGGCTTTAGACTATGGCCATTGACCTTGAAGTCCTTCCCGATCTTCATGCTCTTAATTTCCACTACACCATTGGGAAAAACATTAGTAATCACAAAAGGACCAACCCAACAGGAACGTAACTTACCGAGAAAAAGTCTATGAAAATTCATACATAACAAACATCACTAAGCCTTAAGACTAACCAGCCAAATCATACCACATAGCATGGGAGTCTCAAACTAGATGAAACTAATTATTTGAAATTACTATTAAACCTAAGCAACATTTGACATCCTCTAAACAGTACATGTTATCACAATTGTAATCATATCATTGACACATAAATTAATCCGAAAAACTAAACAATTTAATCCTAAAAACATGCAAAAACTATAAACTAACAACAAATGTAAACACATACTTAGACATATCGAATAATTAATATTTCTATGTCCCACCTCCAACCTAAATTGGGCAATGTCCTCATTGCTCTATTAATAGGTATTAATATATATATATATATCATTAGGAAAAACGAAAACTAATACATCTCAATGGGTTGCCTTCCATGTAGCATTTTGTTTAACGTCGTTAGCCTGACGTTGTTCTTTGCTTAGCCGTCGATGTCCGTTGGTTTATGGAGAGGTACTTCATCCAATTGTTCCATGAATGGCTCGCAGTATGGCTTTAGACGATGGCCATTGACCTTGAAGTCCTTCCCAGTCTTCATGCTCTTAATTTCCACTGCACTATTGGAAAAAACATTAGTAATCACAAAACGACGGCTCCAACAAGAACGTAACCTACCAGGTAAAATTTTAAGACGTAAATGGAATAGAAGAACTTTTTCTCTAGCTTCAAAGTGCTTTCGTTGGATTATTCTATCATAGAAGGCCTTTGCTTTATCCTTATAAATGCGTGAACTTTTATAAGCTTCATTCCGTATCTCCTCAAGTTCATTCAATTGCAATTTCCATTGTTCTCCCGATGCATCTAGTTTCATATTGCATTGCTTAATTGCTCAATAGGCTCAACGCTCTAATTCAACAAGAAGGTGACATGGTTTACCATAAACCATTCGGAATGGGGACATTCCAATTGGTGTCTTATATGCTGTCCTATACGCCAACAATGTGTCGTCAAGTCGCAAGCTCCAATCCTTCCTATTTGGATTCACGGTCTTCTCTAAGATGGACTTGATTTCCCGATTAGAGACTTCGGCTTGTCCACTCATTTGTGGGTGGTATGGCATAGAGATCTTGTGGGTGACATTGTATTTCTTCAAGGTAGCCCAAATTGTACGGTTGCAAAAATGAGTGCCCCCGTCACTAATTATGGCTCTAGGTGTTCCAAACCCTGCAAAAATATTGGATTTTAAAAAATCCACAACTTTAGAATCATTAGTCCGGGTGGCCTTTGCTTCTACCCATTTCGGCACATATTCAACAGCAAGTAAGATATAAAAGTAACCACAGGAAGACGAAAAGGGTCCCATGAAATCATTACCCTACACATAAAAAATCTGAACAAATAAAATCGGATTTTGGGGCATTTGATTTCTTGGGCCTAAATTACCTTAGCGTTGCTTGGTGATCTTCTTCAGTTGGTCCTTGCTAGCACGTGACATGTTGGGTGGGGTTCTCTTGGTCACGATGTAATTTACTATATCTGCATACCATGGTCCCGAGGATGTCATCGCAACTAATTGTTCATTCGAAAAATCATCTTTCAATGGAAGAGCATCTTCTTGGTTTATCAACCTACTTAAATGGTCTACTACAACGTTCTCGCTCCCTCTATCATCTTTGATTGTTAGGTTGAACTCTTGTAGCAATAGAATCCACCTTATAAGTCTTGGTTTAGCCTCCTTCTTTGTAAGCAAATACGTAAGAGCTGCATGGCCAGAAAAGATGGTAACTTTAGTGCCAATTAAATAGGAACGAAACTTTTCTAATGCAAAAATAACCACCAAAAGTTCTTTCTCAGTTGTGGAGTAGTTAAGTTGAGCATCATTCAATGTTGTTGAAGCACAATAAATGGCGTGTGGTAACTTTCCAACTCGTTGTCCTAACACGGCTCCAAAGGCATAATTGCTTGTGTTGCACATCAACTCGAATGGAAGACTCCAATCGGGTGGCTAAATAATTGGGGTTGTGGTTAGTAGTTATTTTAGTTTCTCAAATGCCTTTATACACTCTTCATCGAACTCAAATGCTACTCTTTTTGAAACAAATAGCATAAGGGCCTTGCGCTCTTGGAGAAATCCCTCATAAATCTCCTATAAAATCCTGCATGTCCAAAAAAAGAACGTACCTCTCTCACACAAGTGGGAGGTGGTAAGGAACGTAGAAGATCTATTTTAGCTTTATCAACTTCAACCCCCATATGAGATAATATGCCCTAAAACTATCCCTTGACTTACCATAAAATGACTTTTTTCCCAATTTAAAACGAGATTAGTTTTTATGCATCTTTTAAGAACTAATGTCAAATTACTCAAACAGTTATCAAATGAGTTCCCATAGACACTAAAATCATCCATAAATACCTCTATGTACTCGAAAAAAAAAAACTTACCATGCACCTTTGAAAGGTGGTGGGTGCATTACAAAGGCCAAATGGCATGCGTCGATAAGCAAAAGTGCCAAAGGGGCATGTAAACGTTGTCTTCTCTTGATCTTCCGGTGCAATCACAATTTGATTATAACCTGAAAATCCATCAAAAAAACAATAGTGAGAATGGTCTGCTAAACGTTTAAGCATTTGATCGATAAATGGAAGAGGAAAATTATCTTTGCGCATTGTGGCATTGAGCTTGCGATAGTCTATGCACACTCGCCATCCCGTTTGAATGTGAGTGGGAACTAAGTCGTTATCTTTATTTTTTACCATGGTTATTCCGGATTTCTGAGGAACTACTTGGACCAGACTAATCCATTTACTATCAGAAATTGGGTAGATCACACCAACATCTAACAACTTGATCATTTCCTCTTCACTACATCCATCATTGGTGGATTCAATCATCTTTGCGCTTCTCCTATAGGCTTCGATCCTTCCTCTAATAATATGCACATGGAAGGACTTATTCCTTTAATGTCAACAATCGTCCAACCAATTGTCGTTTTGTTCTCTCTCAACACACGAACAAGTTTTCCCCATTATATTACCGAATCCCACAAACTTCTTTCCTAATGAGTGTGGCTCGAGATGCTACCCAAGAAAATGGGAACGCCCAATTAGTTATGGTCTCGGATGGGAGGTAATAAAGCCATTCCTTAGTGCTGTCTGATAAAGAAAATGGGAACGCCCTTAACTTCATTTGTTCCTCTGTTATTCCATTTGGTTTCCTACTTGAGCACACCACATGGAAATCCTTAAGGTGCTTGTGTGGATCCTCTCCCGCTAAACCTCTGAAATTGGTAGAAGATGAATCATCCCAGATTTAAGCTCAAAAGCTCCCCCTGCCGTATCATTGTATCGAATGCATAAAGGTTGTTGGTCAAGGGTTGGTGCAGCCATCTCTTTGAGAGTTAGATTAGCCATCTCCTCTTGATTAGAAATATCAGAAGAATCCCTTGTGAGTGGAAGATCAGTATGGATTGCTTAATCGAGAGTTAATCTATGCAAAGGTTGTCGTAAATGAGTAATAGGCGGAATTAGCTCAAAATGTGGATTCGATCTCAAATTGTATCACGGGCTCATTAACCAAAAACACCTACAGCTCAAAAACAAAGAACAAATAAAAATTGAAAAATAATTAAGTTAATGAAAATCCCTAGCGACACGGTGCCAAAAATTGACGCGTGCAAATGCAACACCTAATGCTACCTCCATGATCACGTACCAGGATTCATTTTGGTTTTCCTAGAATTTGTACAAGGAATGTTTGGAATGCCTCCACCACCAAGAAGTCAATCGATTACCATATCATGCGCCAAGCCCTTGGAAGCCTAATGCATCCGGTAAGTTCTCTATAAAATCGGCCTAGGAGGTTACTCGTGTGCACCAACACCGAGTGGAGTGGCATTACCTTGTATGGTTCCCAAAAGCTATTCCACAACACTCCATGATCACGTGGATGGCATGTAAGGATCGGTTTCAGACCAGGGACAAACTGATGAGGTTTGGAGTAGCTTCCAGCAATGTGTGTTGTTTTTTTAATCATGGGCAAGAAACGATCGATCATCTCTTTCACCCAAAGGATTTGGAACCGAATCCTTGAGCTCTCTCCTCTTGGGTATGTCATCCGGCCTTGGAACGATTATGTTGAGCACATAGCTAGTAGGTGGAGGAAGAATAAGCTAAAGTACTTTATAGGAAGCTAAGTTTAGGAGCCACCGTTTACTCTATTTGGAGAGAGAGGAATAGCCAGATTTTTGGTGGGGAATGCAAGGATGCACATACTCTCTACAACTCCATCAAGAATGTGGTGAGGGAGAGAGCTATAGACCTTAGCAAGATCCTAAAGAATACCTACAATAGAAAGACTTGCCGAGAAATGGGGTCTTCCCATGTCTATTTTTAAAACATCCCATGGGAGCTAATTTTATGGATTGTTGTTGTGTGATGGGTTTTCGGTGCTGTAAGGAGATTTGGTTATATGACATTCCAGCAGTTGATTGTGCTAGAAAAGGTTACTTTGGCTATCGGAAGACTTGGGGTGTTGATCTAGTGCTTTGTCTTTGTGTCATTAATGGGCCTTACCTTTTTAATGTCCATGTTTATGGAATTCTCTTTGTTAATGCTTATGCATATGGGTTTTGTACTCTGATACTTTTGAACCTAACCCAGGGCATTTCCTGTGGTAGGTGGGATTCATTGTATTCTTTAATCTCCGTTTGGTTTCATTCCTTTGACAAGAGGAATGGGAAAAATATAAGATTAGGGGTAGACTTAGATAGTATCATTCCTTTGCTCCTAACCCAGAGCTTGTCCTGAGGTAGGTTGGCTGACTTTTAGGCCTTTTGTACATTCTTTCCCCTTTCAATAAAAGCTTACTTACCCAAAATAAATTCCAAGGCCCGATCCAAGTTCCTAAGTTATCATGTATGAAACCCGTATATTATCTACCAACTCTGAAAAAGAGTGAAAATTTTACTTGATTTAATTTGCTATGTGGGTATATGTTCTGAAATTTAATCTTTGACTGAGCTCGTGCTTTTTTTTTTTTTTTTCTTTTCACCTGATTTCTATGCTGCTGTAACATAATTAATTTGCTTTTCTGTGATCCATAGTGCATTTTTTCCATTGGACATTCTGATTCCTTATTTCTTTTTTTAAAGCCTACTACAAGGACTTCATTGCCATGGACACTGGGAATTGCAGTCTGTGTTACATGAGGTGCACAATCAATTAGGTGTTGATCAAATACGTAATATACACAGGTGGATGGTGTTTTATGTACAAAATTTTATCTTTTATATGATCTCATATAGTGAGGCTTTGGAGCGAGCTTTACGAGCTGAAGTATTTGTGAATAAGTTGACTCCATCAGCAGCAATGTCTAGTATTCCACCTTCTGCTCCACAGAGAGACAGATTGGATACCCCTAGCAATAGAGAAGGGAAGAATAACAAAAGATTTTAGTCAAAGAAGAACAGGAGGGACGGGAAGAATAAATGGCCAAGGACTAGTGAGTTTCCCCAATGTCAGAGATGCGGGAGAGTGTCTCAAGGGTGTGTGTTTTTTATGCCGACAGCTCGGACATATGATGAAAGACTGTAAGGCCCCTCCTGCATCTACAGCATAGACATCCAGAGGTACTAATGCTCAGGTATTTACAGTTGCACAGAGTTACTGGTCAGTTTATATTTCATTCAATTCCCCTTTATGCATTAGTTGATTATAGAGCCACAAACTCATTTATTACACATGGGATTATAGAGAGATTGGGTTTAAAACCTATTACAGTAGATCAGCTCATTAAGATAGAATTGCCAAATGGTGATAGTGTGGTTAACTCGGGAGATGCTTTCAGGGGAGTCTGTAGCAATCCATGGA